AAATTTGGATATTAAACTCAGGATATACTAAAGCATTCCAGATTTCTCATCACACAAAGCCGAATAAACCCTAAATTCATGATAAACCAATACTAATGTACGTCCACAATTGAATTCGTGTAATTGGTGAGGTACTAATCAATATTACCGCAGATGACACTCGTCCTCAACTCTGGGTCGTTGAGAAGTCGTATGGCCTTGCGTAAGTCGCCGTACCACAGTAGTTGGCCATCGAAACTCAAGAATGATGCATGCAACATTCTCATGCAGATTTGCCAAATGAGAAATTTTACGCAAAAAGACGCCACAAAATTACGCCAAAAGAGGAAGAACAACGAGAAAAAAATGGAAAAAATTTTCCCTTTCCCGAATGCTCTAAAGAAGTTACATGAACCCGAAATTACTGTGGGCGTGCATATCTACAGAAAACGCTATCCATCTCAGGGAAGCCATGCTGCGCGAGCGCTTGGTTTGACCTCGCCATGGCTTAATCGAACCTTGCCTACACAAGCTCGTACGTAGAAGACTCAGCTCCAGGTGAAAGGCCCGCCCTAGCCGAGCATCGATATGTGCACCAAGACTCGAGAGTCATGCTTTCTTGGTCGAGACTCCTATCACATAACACGCGCATAGAGCGAGGGCCCAGAAATTATATTTATAGTGATGGATCGGATGTGGGCCCACGGACAAGATCGGAGATGTTCTGACTATTTATCTGTTATGATATTTAGCCATAACAGTTGAAGGTGCCGATTTGAATGGGACTAGAACCGGATGGGCTTCCTCCAACATTCATGGGCACTTGTGGACCGATTCGAATCGCACAATAAGTGCAGCTCGACACTGTGGAATCTTGAATTTCATTGTCTTGGATCTCCATATATCCGAGATGCTGATGGAATTCACTTCTCGCTATTAAGACAGATATTATTGGAAGGGAAGGGCCGAGATCGATATTCCTGCGTAAATAAATAAAATCTGAAAACATGATAACACCTACTCTTCGAGGTTAATTTGTCGCCTGACAATTAACGCTTGCGGTTCGATTCAATAAAGGTTTATCTCATTCTGGACGAGCTACAATTCAGGAAACATATAATCAATCACCCGAGATTCCAGATTGGGCTATCGAAACGCTGCAGCAGTCTATCGAAATGGACAAAAGCGAGCGAGCGAGCGCAAAAATCTGGATGTGTCAGTACATGTGGGTATCCTGCATGGGCATCATAAGGAAGAATGTGTCACGATGTTTGCCAAGGGGAGAAATCGAAGGCGCTCGACATTAAATTAAAAATCCATGCCGATCGAGATGTAGATGTACCCCCCCTCCCCCACGAACGTACAGGAGGAACATGCAGGTCAGTCCGGTGGGGTAACCTGTTGGACGGCCTAGAGTAAGTAAGTCAGGAGGAGTACTTGCCTACACGTCCCCATGCCACGTCTGCGGGCCCCGGCCGACGTGCCAAGTGGAGCCAAGCGCGCGCTTCCTCGCAGCGCGCCATTCGCGGCCGGTTGCTTTCCGTCTCTCTCGCTCGGGCCCCGTCGCGTCCATGCAGAACCGGAAGCCCGGCACACTTGGAAGTCCGTCAGGCGGTCAGGCGGTCAGAAAGGGCGAGGGTGACGAAGGAAGGACGGAGGGGGGGCCCGGCGGTAGGCGGTCAGCCGTCTGTCATGTTCCCGAGACGAGGAAATGGGGTCGATCGTCGATCGGCCATGGGATAGGAGAGTAATGTCGAGATATCTTCTCCACGAGGAGGGGGCCAATTTGTGGTGACCCAGATTCCCTGCGGAATGAACAATTCAGTCCAATGGAGAGGCAGTATTTGATCACTTTTCCGGGGACATTAGGCAACTGTTAAAGATATCTCCGTGCGCTAGTAAGATATCTCGCTATCTCCACTTTGTGGTCGACAAACTGCAGTGACTGCAGCAGCAGCAGCTTCACGAGGGAATGATTCAGATTCAGGCAGATAGATAGAGCGAGCGAGGCTTCCTCTTCCCTCCCCCCTCCGTTGTCGGTTCTCGCTGCGTTGTGGACATTCCGCCGCTCCCTTCAGCAGCAGAAGCTGCAAAATTACTGTTCGTTAGAGGAGGAGGAGCTCCATGCGCAGCGCGAGGTTAAATACGATCAGATTGACTCGCCTCATGATGACACGAGCAAAGCAATCGCCCCCACAGGAACGGGAACGCGCTTTTTCACGGATCACGGTGCGAGGCTCATCGCTTTCGCAAGTGAAGTGTGACATGCATGCTCTGGGTGCCGTGACCTCCTGCACCGAGCCTCTCCAATCCCCATTCTGCCTTGTTACCTTCTCCCCTCCTCCTCGCGTGTAGGTAAACGCGGGGGACGAGGTAGTAGGATCGAAGGCATTCCCCCCGCCAGAGTCCTCACGATCGCAGGACGAAGGACAGGCTCTGCTTTGTCCGGAATTTTATCGGGCCGAGATGAAATCAAATGAAATGCAGCTCGTGAGAAAAGGGCGAGAATATTGAAACTCCTCCCGCTGCGAAGATCGGGACTCCGAGACTCTAAAAGAGCGAGAGCGAGATAGAGTTCAGAGATAGAGTCTGTCAGTGAGTGAGGCTCGCTTGAGTCAGAGCTTCTGAGAGTCCACTCCACTCCACTGCTGCCACAGAAGCTCTGAAAAGGTCTCGGAGCCACAGACAAGGCTCCGTGAGTGCCATCCCTGTTTCAGTGGCGGTCCTCGGACTCCCATTGGGCTCTCGTCGGATGATCCGATGGGCGAGAGAACCGGACATGGCAGACAGAGGCTGTAGGACGATCGATCGAGACCAGCAGGCACCGAAAGCCAAGGGAAGTCAAGGAATGCAAATGCAAGCAAATGCAAGGAATACAACGCGAGGGAAGGGAAGGGAAGGGAATGGAATGGAAATGGAGATGGAAATGGCGACACTGCTAGACAAAAGCGCTGGGCAGGGGCTGGGGCTGGGAGGGAGGGATGGATGGGGGGGAGCGAGATTAAAGGGCCGGAGGGATGGGTGCCGAGTAAGTAGAGCAGGGGAGCAGGGGACCAGTCACGATGATGGTATCTACCAATTTTGACCGAATCGATAGTACAGTGGTCCTCGAGATCTTTCGGCCTGAAAATCTGGAGTTCATTCTTTTCGCAGATTATATTCGCAGCTTCTCTGCCGTAGTTTGCTGCGAGGATTTTTATCCGCGTCCTCCTGCATAGCCCTTCATGCATTGGGTACAAGGCATGCTTGCTTGCCTCAGCCAGGAATCGGCCGTGGAGCTACTTCAGGATGAAGTATTTGATTTGTATAATGCGGCCCTGCTGCTGCTGCTGCGAGGGAGGGAGGGCCCGGTCATGCCAATGCCATTAAGATGGCATGCTCCGCCATGCTGCCACCCTTCATCATCATCCTCTCGGCCATCGTCGTGACTCGGTCAAGAGACCAGATCCACTTTCGCATCAGGACGAGGTCACAGGGCGCCATATTTTGGTGTTCTGCCTGCTGCTGCTGGCTCCCAGAGCGACCGTAGTCAACAGCCTTCGGAGGCTTAGCTGACCTTTCCCTCACAGGCGAGGAACTCGAAGAAGCCTGTGTGGGCTTTTCTTGTCGTTTCAGCAACAGCGCTCCACCGAAACTCCATAGCCCGTCCTCTGAACTCGATCCTTCAATTGCACAATTGAAGGATCGAGTTCCAGACTCTTTTAAGAATGGGAGTAAATTAAAGTAAACCAACGATTGAACTGGTCCAGATTGAAGGAGTCTCCTCCACTATCGGAAGGGAGCTGTCGTATTAGGATCGGTCCGAGCTCTAGAGCCATCGTTGTCGAGATTGTGATACGAGATCTAGAATTAAATTAAATCGGAATTAAAATAATCAAAATCGATTGTGAGGGTTTGGATTGATTTGCGAAACTGAACTCTGCTGCTCCAGCTTCGTAACCCACTCCCTCATCTTCAAAAGCACGAACTCCAGCAAGAACTTTTGAATTCTTCGACTCCATTCAGAGCGACCTGATTCTTATCCAACTATGATGATGATGATAATGATTGGTGGCTCTCTCGGATCGAAACCTTCAATTTCGAGTTTCCTTTTTTGCTTGTAAGTGTCATGGCAAGCTGAAGTACTTGCCACGTTTGGTGAGTACACTCGCTTGACCAGCAGCGCACGAAAAATTTATTACAAAGTTGAGGTCTTCATCTGTGCTTACTTTTCCGCCATGATTGCTTCGTTCATGAACTGATAAGCGGCATCGAATTCATATTAGCATTAAATTTCTTTCAAGCCCTTTCTTTCTCGCGAATAAGAACCCTAAGAAAGGCTTCTCTTCCTTCCGAAGCTCGAAGGGGCGGAACTGAAACTCTCCCGATGCCCTCGGCGCTTTCAACATCCCTAACTGACGAAGCAACTTCGTGGAAACACATTTCACAACATTTCGTGAGCATTCGAATTCACGACTTTCGAATCTGTTCAAAGCTGATGTAATCTGACATGTAATCTGAAACTTCTGAACTCGGCCGCTGCGGAAGACACACTTTCGAGCAGACTCAGACGAGAGAACAGAATCAGAGTGATGAATCGGAGTAAGCTCCTCGATTCGAGAACCCTTCCCTCCAGGAAACATGTACATGCTGCTACAGACCGATCCTTGCCCCATACTGAAGCGATGGCTGACTCACTGAGGGGAAGCTCTACGAGAGCGGGGTCGTAAAAGGCATCCGTGGTGATTGGGGAAGCACCTGACGAGTTATCCGGGATCACAGTATTACAGTGCAGAATATGCTCGCAGCAACACAGACAGAGCCTGCCCCACAGATCAAATGATCAGAGAGAACTGACAGGGTCGGCACAAATGGCCAAGGCCCTCTCGGCGAGGCGACGACTGCATTGAACAATAAAGTCCCCCCAAGGTTTCGATACCATGCACGACGCGGACATCCGACCTACTGACTCACTCACTGACTGACCGACCGACCGACTGCTCATGGGCCACCATGCTCAAAGTCGCGCAATAGAGTGGAGTGCACCAAACGCACGAACCATGTGGAACCGAAAATGGAACTCTTTTCTTGAAGCAAAGGCAGGTCTCTCTTCCTGCGAGGAGGAAGACGACGGGATTCCCTCCCCCATCATCGACCGACATGATACATATTCAAAGCTATTTCTGCCTACGGTAGTTACTTAGTTCACAAAGTCTCGAGGCTGTGCAATCTTCTTCATCTTCTTCTTCTTCTGCTACTGCTGCTAATAGATAGCTAGCAAGCTATCAGGCGGGGCGGGGCTACACTCCAAATACTTTCCATTGTTCTCAAACGAAACAAAATTGGCCAAATTGCAGCTCGCCTGCTCGTCCTCCTCCTCGTAAAGGGTCGAGGTGATCGGCGAGGAGAGGCGAGGCGAGGCTCCATCGCTTCTCCAACAGGAACCGAAGCACCTGATTCCCTAGATTCATCGCGGATTTTCAAAAACGCCGCGTGTGCTTTAAAACTGTCTGTGTCTGTGTCTGTCTATCACTGTCTTCTCTCTCTCTCTCTCGATCATCTAGAAGGGTACCTCGTCCCGTATGTACCACTTGCAGGTGAGGTTTGTTTACGATTCAACTAAATTATGTTTTTCGTGACAAAGGGCTTGATTATTGACAATCGGTCGGATTGAACTCACAAATGCGTCCGTGCTCTCCGCTCCGCTCCGCCCGGCCATCTCGCTCGCTCAATCGCTCCCTCGCTGTCGGCAGACGGGAGGGGCAATTTTTTCCTACAGCGTCTGCGATCGAGGAATCGAATCGATCGCGCGGCGAGTGAAGAAGGTGGTGGAATGAAAGAAAGCACCTCCGCAGCATCAATCCTCCTCGTCTCCTCTCTGCTCTGCTCTCCGGCTCGCGGCGCATTGCTCCGAAGCTCGACGCAATTGGCCGCGCCTCACTTTCTCCTCTCCTCTCCTGTTAATATTTGATTAAGCTGACTGAGTGGTTCACATCTATCGCCTGCCGAGAAACATCCCGAAGCATCAGCAAGAGCATTGCACGTCTCGATGCCGCCGCAGTTCCTTGAAGGTAGGGCTCCGATGGCGGACGTCGTGTGCCATCGGAGTCCTTGACGAATAAAAATCTCTGCGCCTGCGGGCATGCGGCATTCTGTCTGTGCTCGATGTTACTTACACAACCTATAAGGGCGCATGCTTCGCTTCGTGGCCGCGACGAGGCTATGGAAGATGAAGCATGCGGATCGAAGACAGACGTACTCGTAGGCCAAACCGGAAGAATGAATGTATGTACTTAGTGGCGGCAAAAGGATGATCCGGAACGCCCCGAAGGGTTCGGCGAGATGCAATCGTCGGAGAGAAAGGTCTCGACGCCCCGGCCAGGCCACATTTGTCGACGGGCAGAGAGAGATTAAGAGAGAGCGCCTGCTCTGCTCTGCCATCGGTCGTCGTCGTCGTCGTCGTCATCGTCAGGAACGAGCAATAATTACGAGAGCGCAATGCATCAATGTACGCCGCTGAGCACGTCGGGAATTCCCTGCAGATACGCTTGCCACCAGTGGCCGCGGCCGCCCTCCGGATGGTACATGGAGAACCATAGCGCGAATTCCGAGGCGAGCTCCGCATCGATCTGCATCTCGTACCTGCGCTTCTCCAGCAGCTCCTCGGAGGCGAGGGTGGAGCGGCAGAGCGGACAGGTGGTCTGCCCGTGCCCCAGCCATCTGTCGAGGCAATCCTTGTGGAAAATATGCGAGCACTGCGGCAGCTGCAGGACCTCCTCCTGGGGTTCGAAATCGCACAGGCACACCGAGCACTGGTGCTCCTCCTCGTCGCCAAACCTACTGGAGATTTCCTGAAATTGCACGGAGGGCAATCGAGACCTGATGTCCTCCACTAGCGAGTCCCTCGACTCCAGCCCTGATCCGGACACGCCGTCCTCGTTGTGCACCCAATCGCTCGATCCTACCACTACTCTCGACACGGGATGCTGCCATCCCCGACCTAGCAGCAGATTAAACACCGAGCACGCCGTCTCCTTGAGCACCACCAGCGACAGCGCGGCCTTGAAGACCATCACCGGAAACATGACCCCGTACACGCCAGGAAATCCCATCGACCACCTTCCGCACGAATCGCCTCCAATTCGAACTCCTGCACTCAGACCCAAAAAATGCCAGATGCCAAATCGTCCGCCAATGTCGTCGTGCACTCCGTCCTTCCCCGAACCGGACTAACGCCGATGCACACCCTCCTCGTCTAGAATTTCTCTCCGACCGCTCTGATCCGACTACGGTTTACACACAAATCGCACGAAAAACACGCAAAAGCCTCGACGATCCGATCGCCAAGATCAGAAATCCTGTCCGCTAAAACACTCTCTGAAACTCCTGACTCCTCTCTCTTTCTCTCTCTGAGTCTCTCTGTGTCTCGCTCCCTCTCTGAGTGTCTCTCTCTCTCTCTCTCTGACTTCGTCAGTCTCACTGGTTGCTTGCAGACAGGCAGAGTGCCTTGCTTGACAGTGATGAGATGGTGAAATGGTAATGGAGATGGAATTGAAAGGTGAGGTTGGATTAAGTAATCCACGCGACGTTCTGAGAGCTTGATGAGTTTAGGAAACCTCCACTGCGGACAATGCAGGGGGACCGGGTAGCTCTTATGTCTGAGCAGCAGAGGGGGGGAAGGCGCTTGAGTGCTTCGAACAAGAGTGAGCAGCGCAAGCGCGAAGTGCGCCCTGTAAGACGACGACGACCTTTCTCGCTGGCCCTGTCTGTGGCTCTGGGGTTCGCCCCGGCTACGACGACGCTCGCTCGCATGCGTCTGCCGTCGCGAACTTCGCGCTAGCGCTCGCGATCGCTTTTTCGGTCCACGAACCATGAAATGCGCCGTTATGCACAGGGGCCCGGCGGGGCGGCCTTGGCCAATGGCGAGCGGCCAGGTAAGCGCAGGGATGGTTATTTTACTCGGACGGGTGCCCCCATGTGGTAGAAATCCCTGCCACGCCTGCGCTCGCGGATGGTCCACCGGATATCCGACGGGCGCTGCCACGTAACGCAGATGCTTCCATCTGGCCTCTCCCCGTGAGTCGCTTTCCGACACGTGTGCCGTCGGCCCTGCCCTCGTGGCCTCATCTTTAATCCCCCATCGTCCCTCTCACGAGTTCGCCTAGGCTTCGTCGGGGTATCACGGCTCTCGCCGTATCCAACGTCGTGACGCCCTTCCGACCGAGCAACCGCTCCGCAACCCTGGGGCGGGGCGGGGCGGGGCTTGGCTAACCTAACCCTCTAAGGGGTCTGGTTTACTCTTAACCGGACCACGTCCGGTCCATTCCACCACCACCTCGAGCACGTCACCAGGTCAGGACAACCCGCGTGCAGTGTTATACCAGGTAACCCCACTAAAGGCGACGTTACTGCGGTACAGACCCGGTCTTTTTAACCCGGACTATATCCGGTAAGCCACCGGAAATGCCGGGTGTTGTCTCTAACGGCCAAGCCAACTTTGGCTGTCGGACAGGGAACATACTGTCCTACCGGTACCGGGCTCCGTCAGGTTGGATGGAGGAACAGTCCGGCCTGCGGACGCGTACTGCGGCGCTGGCAGCGACGCCGACGAGGCCGAGGCTTCCGACACTTTCGTGGCCAGACGTGACGTATACGCCACTGGTGCCGCATACTCCCGACGCATTTCTCCTGAGGCGAACTCAACCCAGCGACCTCGTTATGCGTTTCCGTCTCCGCGATCCGGTCCCTGATGACTCATCAGGGACCGGATCATCGAGAGGAAAACGTGATGATTAATTTTAATTCTTTGATTAATTATTACTCTTTGCACGTTTCACGTTCTCCCGATGTACACCACAATCAATCATTTCGTCGTCGGCCTCGAGGTCTTGGACTTCGACGTCCTCCCCCTGGAGCATGGAGGCCCTTGGCGAGGCTGGTTTGCACCACCTAATCAGCTTGCGTTGCGTGCTAATCTGTTGCTTATACAGATGAGTAAATGTGGCCTTGCAGATATATTCCCATGTGACTCATGCTCTGCTCTCCTGGTCCAGAAGTCGAAACGAAGAAGGACACTGCTGATCCATTTTGATCCAACATGTAGAAGGGAAACTGTTTAATCAATCTCCCTGTTTAATCAATCCTGCAGAGATGAGGCCAACCTTCCAGTTCCCGTCCACCAACCGCAGAGATTTGGATTCCTCGGGGTTCAGCGGCAGCTCCGAGGTTGACTGACTGACTGCAATTCCAATAACCCCCCGTTCAGTCGGTGCACGGGTGATTTGAGGTCTCAGAATCATGGGCAGGAGGAGGAAGGTAAAGGAAAACTCTCGGCAAGTCCACAGACTTCGACACTACCTACCTTTGTCGAGAACATGATGTAGGTAAGCCACACATGAACGTGGGACTCTCTTGCTTCAACTTTGAAAAATCGAGCACTAATCCACTTATGCATGCGGTCTACGTTCATCGTGCTTCTCTTGGCCACATCTTCTCGTCATGTGGGAAAGTGAGTGCCCCTTGGGGCTCTCCCGATAGTTGTTGTGTCCATGTGCTTGCTTCATCATGAGATACGATTGTGAAACCTTCAAGAGACTCTGTCGAAATTGTAATCTATGGGTAGTCGCTCAACAATGACGGCGCGAGAAGAGAAATTCAATCATCCTCTTGTCATGCGAAAATCCTTTCTTCTTCCCAAGTTGCATAGTGTCTTATGGAAGTGGACTGTGGATTTGAAGAGATGCCACAAATCTAATTGTGGGCATTACGTATAGACTCATCAACCACGTGCGCTTTTCAAGGCTCGATTGTGGAGAACACAGTTCCTTGTTGTACTCGTAGATTGCTGAAGGAAACTTTCAGTTCTGAAGCTTTCTCATAATCTAGCGGGCAATCAAAATCTCAACAGGCATCAAACATGTCCCTCGATACACTAAATCGATACGGGAAAGCTCTTGCAGGAGACATGGAACTTCTAAACTCGATCACAGGTTTAACCGGCGAGAGGAGTTTCGTTGACCCACGTAGTCCAGTGTCAAGGTGTTGGAAAACATTTTGCGTGAACGCTGGGCAATATGAAGCGTGTGGCCGAAACTTGATTATTTCCACCGAAGGACACATTGCCATAAATATGGATGGGGTGAACGGAAAGTTGGACAGCTTGCTGAGCATCGTTCGAAACATTCCTCGTTCTGCCCATACCCTCGATCAGTCGAAACAGCATTTCGTGCCATCATCAGTGTCGTGCTCTCCCCAGCAGTAGTAGTATCATCTAATCAACCCCGCAGCTCCTCCCATCGGTAAGAAGGAGGGATGGGCACGTAGCCGGCTAATCGGCTATCGGCTGAAAATGCACTCAACCGAAAATGAAAATGCACTCAATGTTTATTGAATTAATTTCGGCCTAATCTGAGGAGATAATCGGCCGAAAATGTAATTTCGTCCCGAGTTTACGGTTCGTTTTCGGTCTCGGATAGAAGTGGCAATATTTATCGGCGAACCGTCGGCTAATCGGCTAGCCGGATAACGAAATATATTAGCCGACTAGCCATTAGCCGAGCCGTGCCCATCCCGAGTAAGAAGAATAGATAAGACTGGATTGCGATCTACGGTAATTCCGGTGATGCGGTAATCCGGGGAGAGTAAACCTGTATCAAGGCTCTATCCAAGTAAAGGGTAGCTGGAAAAATTAATCCGAATAGCTTGCAGTAAGGGAATCTTCGTTGTGGCTAGTTGGCATGCACATTGGGGATTCTGGGAACAGATGAGAGCGGTCGCTCGCGCGCGCGCGCGGGCACGCTGATTTCATCATTTGACTATCTTTCGATTTTCAGCAAAATCACTGCAGTGTACCCACTAATGAACCTGATCGGAAGGCTCAATTTAGTAAGCTGCATCTGCATCGGACAGTCGTCTCAAATAACAGTTGGCGCAAGAAGGCCACCGTTGGTCGAGATTTCAGTCATTCCAATCCTCGGCCGGAAGAAGGTTCAATTCGTATTTGTACGCATGGAGACGGAGAGCTGCGTTCTGTCAGCTCTGCAATGCAAATATATGGCTAGCCATATATTTGCATCACATGCCTGCTAGCCATATATTTGCATCGATATATGGTTCGCTTCTCAAACTTTTACAGTTGCATTTCAGGTACTCAAGTTTGTAATGCCATAGAAAAAGTCGTTGATTAATTACTATCTTCCTTCTCTATCTTACCATATGCGGATCCTTACGAGAGGACTTTTTTTTGGGCATATTAATCTTTTTACGATTAGCTCGAGAATATTAACTAAAAATTTAAAAAAAATGTAATGTAGTAATGCAGTAAACTAGGTATGTTTCATAGGGTCCATCAATTAATTTTTTCTACTAAAGAGCTTGAGGCATTAATTTTTGTAAACATTTTTTATAATTTATAAATTTTAAGATTTTTTAATGAGATATTTGTACATTAAATAACATAATGATAATACTTACAAGTAAATATTTACAATTTGAATTTAGGTATTTATATTGATTAAAAAGAATTTCATCTGATGCGATGAATCAAAATTGAAAATCAAAACTGCAATATATTTCAAGTTTTTTATGACCAAGTACCAATCATTATTGTTTAATTTTATTTAAATAAAAATATAATATAGAAATATTTTTAAGGTTACCTCAAGAGAATTATTCAAAGATTAAAAAAAAAATTGCAGAAGTTGTGGATGACCCTTTGCCACAGAGCCAACTGGTTCATAGAATAAGAGAACGCCACTCTCCTTCACTCCACTCATGGTCTCGTATAAAGTTAGTCCAAGCGTTTTGCCGTATACTGTAATTATATGAGACTATATATTCCTCTATCCTAAGCCAGAAACTGGACAAAAGCAGTTCCGCCCTCGGAATCTTTTACTATTTTGTTAGAGGGCTTAGGGCACCAACAGTGAGCATAAGCTCTGTCGACAACACAGCCCTCGAAGACAGTTCTCCGGGCTTCTCGTAATGCGGTCTAATCGAAATTGGCTCTTTTCCAAGCGTCTCTGACCTCGGCGCGCCGATTTCATGAGTGTGGCCAAAAGATATGAACATTTTGAGTATCATGTGACTTCTTTCGATCGAAGACGGTTTGGAATATTCTTTTGTTCGTCACGAAGGACGAGGATTAAATCGTGACTCTTCTCGTGATCTATAAATCACAATCATGTCTCTTCTGAGCTAAACTTTTGCTCTCGTAGTCGTAAGCAGGAGCATTAGATTTGACTCCGATGGGTCCGCCAGAAGAACAGAAAGTGTTGGACTACTTGAATTTTGACATTCCGAATGAACCTGGAGGCAGCTCACTCCATCTCCCAAAGTTCCTCACATCCTCCCCTGAACCGCAGCAATCCAGGCCGAGGGCAGCGCTGGTGGAAATCAACGAAGGCAGATTCGCGGATTCGCATCCTTTGAACATCTTTCAACTCTTCCACCGAACTGCTCGTGGATCAAATTGATGTGAATGCGCGGATTTAATTATCTGGAGGATCGTGCGATTAATTATTTAAGTGCAGGACAGTGCATCCTGGAGGGAGACTCGGTACAGTACTGGGGAACAAGCGACTGAAGCAACTTACGGGAGCCTGCCGGGAAGTGGGTCACGGCACTGCCGTACCTTCTTTTTACGTCGGCATCGCGACTTCGCTGCGGGACTTGCCGTATGCCTTCGCTCGATGAATGCGTCCGCTGCTTCGTCCGCAGCTTCATCGCTGACGTCCGAATTGCCGCATGACGTGAATCGGTGCCCGCTCTTTTCTGCAGTGTCAACACCGCAGCCGCAGCAGGGACACGTACGGCGACGTCGGACGTCACCGCACGATCAGGGTCGCACTGTATTTGCAAAAGCCGGCAAATCTAGTGCCGTTTCTCTCAGTCGTATAGCTAGACGCGACCGGTTATGTTCCGCGATGCCGGGTTTCTCCTCGGACCTTTTTGCCCTTCGCTATCTTCACCGGGTACAGCACCCGTCGAGTCCACCGGCTGATTCACGGGAACTCCGCGATTCTGCCTTGTTATCCGGTAGACTCCGCTCGCCCCTCTCGCCCTGACATCCAGCAGTCATCGAGGCCGAAGTGCCTCACCGACGTCCGGCAGTTTACCGCCCTCACCCGGTTGCCGGGCGGACGTCGAGGATTGTCACCGTTCTGCAGCAGAACACGACAAACAAGAGGCCGGAAAGGCCGCATCCGAGATTCCGGGAGTGTGGATCGAAGATTCTGATTCCCTGGCGGACGTGCGAGGGCGTGGGTCCGAGGAGCCCGGAAAGTGCCGGTCGCCAAATCTGGGATTCAACAGGGTCCTGGTCCTTGGCAATTACGAAGGACCACGACCGAGCGACCTCTCGGACTCTCGGACTCTCTTCACGTCCCTTGGCTTGCAAGGCAGCCCCGGGCCCAACCACGGTTCTCACGTCTGAGCACGACTACAGTAAGGACGCGGAGAGGCGAGGGACCAAAGCTGTACGCAGTAGCGGGCCGAGCGCTCGATCGGTTGCGCGGTTGCTCGAGGTTGGGGGTGGGGAAGTGGGGGGTCGGGGGGGAGGGGGGAGATTTTTCCGAGGCGCGGGGTTTATCTGAACCCGCCCGAGGGCTGCAGATGTGGACGGAGAGACGGTTGCATGCCTGCCTTCTCGACATACCGTTCCGTCGATCGGTCGGTCACCGGGGGCGTCATCCGGTCCATGTGTTGCGATCGGGGGCTGCGCTCGCGCCATCACACGAACGGCGTGCGTGCAGTTGCGTCCGCGCTAAAGTGCGCGGGCCAGGGAGGCTATCCGAGTCCCCCCCTGTCGGTTCCATCCCAATCGAACTCCGTCTGCGTCTTCGCCACTGGCCGATTGCTGCCGGACATTCCCCGCCACCTCCCTCTAACCCCACCCCCTCCCCTCAACCCCCAACTGTTGCCGAACGTTTGGGGCAAGATGCGCCGGAGGGGCCTCGGCGCCGAGGCCCCTCCGGTTCCTTCCTCGCCAAGCTACGCCCCGCAAGTCCGTACACTTGTGGGCCTAACCACTCCCCCAATCCCGCCCCCCGCCCCTCTGCAGATAATCGAACCCCAACCCCAACTTCAACGCCAATCCGATCATCAACGGGTCACTCGATCCACGAGTCGACAAACGAGCCGAAGATCAGTGCCTCCCGGCCACATTTGCCTAATTCGACACATCTTTCCATCTGAACATGTCGACCGACGAGTGGGTGTTGGAGCCACTAAATCCGGGTTTATATACGATTCTTGACATTGGGTTTCCTTTCGATAAATGTCATGATGCGTGTTGCCAAATCGTTCTTGACGCCGAGAATCCGTTCCACGAAGCAGCTTTCCGTCCAGATGTGATCTTGTTTGTCGAGAAGCTTAAATGTAGAAAGAGCTAAAACCCCATTCTCGTTTGCTTCTTCGTTCACTCAATTTCGCACCATGATCCGCCAAGAGTGATGTTTTGGCCTTGCAAATGCAGGCCGTCCCACTTCATTAAAGCGCGTTCGGTGTGTCGCTTCAAATCTTTATCAAACCAAACACGCCATCGGATGCTCCTTCGAGCCTCTGTCATCGACCAGCGTCCTCAAATTTCGGGGCACCGGACATTTGATTCTCCTCGATATAAACATGGGCTGTAAAGTACCGGAGAGTCGATTCCTGATCCCATTTGCGTGTGTGCTTCCTTCATGTGATACGATGAGTTTTCACACTCGTACCTGCGTTAAACCACCTTCCATAATTGTTCTCACGCAATGAATCTAATTATATGGAAAGTTTGACGTTCTATGGATTGCGAGATTTGGGCACCTTCATATGAAATCAAGTATGAGGACATTATCAGGAGCTCTGAGTGTCAAGTAGAGTTTTCCTTCAATGTAATTCAACAACAAATGGTCATTTACCTTCACCGTGGTACATAACAAAAGATATGTTGACATGTTTCTCGATAGATTCCTGATGACAATTTTCTTGGGAATCGTAGGAATCAGTATTCTACATGGTAGATATTCGATTGATCTCTACTTGGATGATAAATTCTTTCTCGACATTCACGTGCACAAGTTGCACATTTTCTAAGCAACTTGATCACAAATTACAACAGTCGGTCGGTTCAGCCACATCGTGGTGAGTCAGTGCTCTAGTGCACAGTGATCTAGACTGGAGTTAGTGCGTCTTTTGACATGATAACCATCATGCCAAATGGGCACTGACCAATTTACTCGCTCCTTCGTTATTATTATTACATGTCTCATTAACAATGAATTCTACGCAGAAGTCTCTCAATGATCTCAACCCTTTCTCGAACTAAACATAAATAGTGGCAAGAGCAAACCTGCAGGCGAATATTTTGAAACATTCTCTCACAATTTTGGCGACTTCTTCGATCCCCATCAACATTCATTCCTTCATCGTGCATAATCGTTTCAACATCTGAGCTGAAGATCGATCAAGCACAGCTCCGACCTCATCCTGCCGATTAGACATAATCCAACGTAGTGTGTCCGTCAACCCCATTTCAGCTGATGTCTACTAAGCTTAGAGGTGTCCTCGAATTTGTCGTTGTCTTGTTGTTTGGGTGTGTGCGGAATTCCAGAAAGGGAGGAAGAGGAAGCTTTCGCACATTGGAATCTACGCTTTGGAATCCAGCACGAGAAAGCTGCAAGTCGATCTCCTCCGCTGTTCCCTGATAAGGAATGGCGAGCACTGAGAGAAGGCCATGCAGAGTCTACCTGGACCTGGTTCTTCCTTCCACGTTACAAACAAAGCGCGCAGGCAGATTCCAAGTTTGACAAAGCGCTCGATTTACCGCCGATCGAGGAGAATGACTTGACGCTCTAGAAACCGACAGACTACGAAAGTCTGCAGCTTCCATGAGAGAGAGAGCACCGGAGAGACCGAACAGGAACTCCAATTCCGAGTAGGGTTCATGATTTCATCGGACTCGACGATCGGCAGGAGCCAGGAAGTGACAGAAATCGCCCACTCTTCATCGTGATAAGTACCATATAAACCAGGCCACTTCTCGACACGTGCACGGAGCGCCCACCAGCCTTTAAAACTCGCACCGATAATAATGACCGAACACGAGGGATTTACTTTTCGGAGGCTCCAATAAGTGGAACACTGGAAGAAAAGAAAAGCAACCGCCTTTTTCATTCGCGGCGAGTGATTTCATTTGAGAAATGAGCCATTCTGCTTTAGGGTTAAGGAGACATGATTTGCGGAAGAGAAGTGCGTGTTCGCTTTACGCTGATTCCATCGATAAGAGATAAGGAGCCCATTGGCCTGCTCCGTGCCCTAAACAGATGTCGAAAGTCCGCACCCTCGCAGACGAGCAAAACGTCACGATCAATCTTTCCACTCTCTGCGCGACAATGGCACACCCGACGACTGACACACGCCCCGTGCTCTCGCGACACGCGACGCTCTCGCACCTGAAATCGAGGACTTTCTGCCCCGACTTTTCCTCTCTCCGGATTCGGATGAGATCCGCGCACCCGCCTCTCAGTCGCATCCGGACCGAAGACATTCTAATTCCGAATGCTCGCCCCGCGCACACTCACCTTCGTATCAATCCCTCGCTCGCTCGTCGGCACTTTCCGTCGGCTGCTCAGCAATTCCTGAAATCCCGTGTCGATGTGACGCACTTCGACACGTCCTCCTCCCTAAAGAAAGAAAGACTTCCCGATAGTACTTCCAGACCTCCATTGCTGACAGTCGCTCCATTGCCATCCTTGCGCTTTGCCATGGCCATCAAATTCCTCCACCTTAGTCGATGGTGATTTATCGAGAATTCACCATCTGATCCAACCTCGTTGACCTCTCTCTTCCTCGTAGACCTGATCTCAATTCTCAGGCTTCTTCGCCCTTTCAGCTCCAAATTACACTTTCACCTTCAATTCGAATCCTCGTCGGCACAGTCGCCATTGACGAGGTGACAAAAGCACAATGTGACAACATTTGCATCTCTTCCAGACGAGCTTTGTTTGAGGTCGCGAAGACACTTATCCTGTATTCAAGCATCGCTGGTGTCGGGCAAAGCAACAATTAAATAAATAATTAAATAATTAAAGCTCATGTGACAGTATTTGCATCTCCTTTGGGTGAGGTTAGTTCGAGCTTAGCGCTGTCATATTTACTTACATGGCTTCGAGGGAATGCGATTAATTAATTTTTTGTCATTCATTGGAGTCTAGATTGACTCACTGCTAGACCTCTATCTTTGGCTCTTGTACTGTACCTCGATTCTCTATCGTAGCTATGGGACATGTTTCAGACTTCCTAGGTCGGTCGGGTGTCAGATGCTACATGGGACTATATTTTTGGCTATTTGATTATTTACCTATTTATGATTTTATGAACTGCTCAGAGCCTACAACAACGCAGATGACATTCTTAGGATGTAGAGCAGACATCATTAAAAGTGGCATTTGTGATTTTTTCCACCTTTAAGTTAATTGTGGCATCCAAAATTTCTTAAAAGTGTCATTTGTATTGAAAAACTTATATGACAATGTTAAACCACATAGATTGAGCTTATTTCTGGAGAACGTGAGGCAGGATTGTTTCTCCTTTGTGACTAAGTCAGGTTCCGCGCTCATGTTATGTTCAAGGTACCCCAAAACCATCGAAAGCTAACGAGAATTTAGAAGAGTCCATGAACACGACGGCATGATTATTCAAAGCAGAGAGAGCTAGTTTTTTGAGAAGAAATGAGTTCAAAGGTCTTGATACTAACATTGAGTATATTAAACTTTATCTAAATCGTGCCGACTTCCAAAAACCAAGAGACGTGAATTGTAATATCCTCAAAACCAAGAAGAATAACATCACCTATCTTCAATCCTAGGATTGGAAAGAAACTTGGTTTCATGACCAGAATATTATGGCATTAGAGTTTTAAAAAATCTTCGCGGTGTATGTAACTCTCTTCTTCCGAAAATACATCCATCAGGTGATCATACCTTACTTAGATTTTTGTCCACAATCGGCTCAAAAACACAGATGCAGTGATTCTCTTTCTAGTCACTTATTGACGGCAATGAGGTCTAATGCTTGCTTGGTTGGGATAATAACATTATTATGTTATCAACCGCGCATTTCGTAAATTTTAGACAGTGCTTGCAAACTCTAAAAGATTTACGTCCTAAAGTTCAATTGCAACCAAAGAGCAACTATAGAAAAAAGCTTAATTGTGACATAGGCCCAATTTTAATTACGGAAAAGGTGTCATTTTTTTCATAAAATGCCACTTTTAATGAGGTCTGATGTAGAGTATATATATATAATCTGAGGTTTTGGGCTTACGATCAGTTCTTCTCTATGCATCACCTACAAGGTTATTTATTATTGACCCCTTTAGATGCCTACGTTAGACCCACATCGGTCTACCAGAGAAAATCGAGAGTCGCTCGATGTGTCGATTACATATTCATCCGGAGCTCAGAGCCTGCAGTACACATAATTATTTAGAGTGCGATATTTATAACCGTGCGGGTTGAGAAGGGATTTTTGCCTTCACCATAAAGTTTTTGTAGAGATGATGAGACCTAGACTTCAAACACGAAGGAAATGGCCTTCATCTCCAACACCATCATTGTTGACTCCCGTTGTGATGCCTATGTTAGACCGCCATCCATATTAATTACATGGTAAAGCAGTCGCTTTTTGAAGTATATAGTTTTTATATTGAATATTACAGTTTTTCATGATATATTTATTTATTTATTTATTTATTTATATTTATATTTAAAGAACTACAGGTAAAATATGGTTTCGTAAAGAATGAGATAAAAGAAAAATAGACAAACTAACAAAGAGCTGGCTTCATTCCTGCCTATACTTATGCTTTTTTTCCTTGTGTAATTTTCCAACTAAGCTCATGGAGAGGCTGAATTTTACTACTGTGTATATCGTGACCTTCTTTAGTGGAGCAAACTTCTATATTTGATAGCGATATTTGAACAACTGGAAAGATTCGCGGGTTTTCACAACTGATACAGAACTATCTGTGGCAATACATACAATCCACAACACTTAATCATGACTAGTGCCATTTATCCTATCCACACCACCTAATCACGATCAATGAACTACGTTTGAGATTAAACTTGTGAGAATAGGAATAGCTTTGGAGTACTTGAAATACTTTTTCATCATTCTGAGGTCATGTTCCGTCAAAAATTGAGATCAGATATATATAATTACATTCATATTTCAATCTTGGTTACATTGATTTTCAAATGAAACATTAAGGAGGATTCAAAAGAGAAATTTTTGAGTTTCATAAGATTTTTAGTGTTTTAATTGATTTTCTAAAATATGATAAATGAATACACTTCTTCGTACATATAAAATATCTCTATTGGAGCCAATTTGGAAAATACCAGAGATCACAATGAAAATTTTGAGTGTTTTTAGATTTTATCTTCTTTTGTAGATAGCATTAATACTGTGTTGTGAAATGTGAGATGTTAAGGAGTGTGGTTTTGCGGTCTAGGAAACTTTCACGATAGAATATCAAATGTCAATATTGTACTCTTCGTTATAGGTATGGCTTCGATTTTTTCTCGCGAGGCAAATTAGTACGGTGCATGTGTTTCCAATTTTTATTTAATAATAAATCATTTTTCACACAGAAATGTCGAAAGTTATAAGCAAGCACGTAAGATATTATCTTCAGGTGTACTGTTACTTAAGTTTTGATTGAAGGATTACCGCATACATCTCTTGACTGATTTTTCTCATATATTCATATATGGGTTATGAAAGTGATGAACATCTTAATCATGTTCTATTTAAGAACTTTAAGCTTAGGTATTCAGGTTAATGTTTTCAAATCAAACATATTGAAACTCTTTGTCCACTAATCAATCTACTGGAACCATCGCTGGATCAGATTGATTTTAAACTTCGCTATTTTTTTATGTCTAGATTATACATGAAAAATTGACCAGATTTTTGAAATAGTCAGATGGCAGTAGACAACATAACACCATACGAGTAACATAACTTTGAAGTCAAGTTCAATTAGGAGATATTGCAAATAGTCCATGATTAAGTTACTTTAGGATCTTGAGATATGAAATAAATTTCAGTCGTTTCCGACTTATAATTTTTTATATATAACTAATCCTATGGAAAAACATTTATGTTCTTAATCTTTTACATCCATATGTGACTACGTATGATTGGAGGCGTTGAAATATCACACTTACGAGTTCTTAAGTTTTTTTGGGCTAATTTTTATTCATATTACCTTTTTCGATGATCTAAATTTTATTAAGTATGATTATATGGGCATCTTAGATGTTCTCTAAGGCATACAATCTATCCATCATTTTTCCAAGGTAAATTTAAATGACTGAATCATGTGAAAAATTATTCGTATTTGTCAACCCAACAAATACGAATATTTTTTGGGTTGACAAGTCATTTATATAACTTGTAATAAAAACACATGGGTAACTAACATAATGATTATTGAGATGTATCATTGCATTTTTTATAGTAATTTATTATCATTCTACAAATGAACATATCTATATGTTTTTACTAGCAGCTCATGTGCACCCATCTTCATCTCAGAGATACTCTTTGGTACACTTAGTTCTAATTGTTTGATTTTCTTACGTTTCATCATCCTTTCTATCAGTTTGAATGTTAGGAGAAAGATTTTATTATAATTGTTTTTTAAATGAAATGTGTACATTTTCTTAAAATATTCTTATTAAAGATCATAAAAAGAAAGAGATATAAAAATTAAAGAGAGCCATTAGAGCAAAGCCACATGATATATGTGCAAAAGCATTGCTTTCATGATTTTTCCTAAAAGTTTGTTGTTGAACAAAATGTTGTAGACCCATGTTACTATTTGAGGATCTCAAATCGAAATAAATTTCGTCCTCCATGCGAAATGTTAGTTATAGGTTTTTCAATCCATTGCTTTCCTTTTCGGAAATAAACATTCTTGAATTGTGTAACTCATTTCATTCGTTTAAATTAAACAAGGTTTTGATAGCTTTATCATATCTTATACAATATTGTGTTTACAAAACCTGTATGTGATGGTTGAATTTCCATATGCAAGAGTTGGCTTCATTTGCAGCCCAACCTAAGAAAGAAGCATGATTCCCAAGTAAATGAGTCTTGAAAAACAAAGAAGAAGACTATTTACCTCTCAAGCCTTGAAATAATAAGGATATAAAGTGACAAAATAACGCCATTAACGAATTACAATATACTTCTTGTCATATTAATAAATACATTGTTGCTGGAATATGAACCAAATCAATCATTATTCTATTTGGAAATTTTTCTAATATGCAAACAGCTCGATGTAGATGATTAAACATATTTCAGTAGAAAGATGCGAATTTGCTATAACATACTGTTGGAATCTATCCACGATGTTCAAGATTGGCTTCAAAAGCTAAAACTTGACGTTGAAAATTGATATATTCGAGGGCAATCGAGCATAAAGTTCATAACGGTAGTGGAGAACAATTCCATGAAATGCGGAAAGTCACACCCTAATTTCTAGATCCATCTCTAAACTTCTTAACTGACATGTTTAACTCATTCTTAAAATACTCATATGAAGTGGGAGTGCGTAAATCGGGAAATACTGGGTATCCGTGCATTATTCGAGGGGTCTATCTTGAAACCCGTTTTAACACAACGGGTTTAATGCAAATTTAATTCATAAAGACGACTTAGATTCTGATGGATAGATATCTGATGTCCTACAGAAGTTAAGAGCACATGATTTTATAGTACGTGCCATTGAAACCTCGACACGTTTTTTGAAGCCTCGACAAGGACATCCACTTGAAGCTATCTCTTGGGGCCTCTGACCTTGTCAGGGACAATTCCTCGTCTGCCTCTCCATTCGTCCGAATTGCGGTTTTGATAGTGCAATGGTCTCGAAACCTTTCCATTCTGAATATTCGTGCAGATGTCATGCGC